TGCGGACATATCCACTAGCTTTTAACTTGGATATACTACAGAGTGGATAGCAAGGAGAAAATTTTTGCATAACCTCCGAGTGCACACAATTCAAATTTTATAGTTTTGTTACAAAATGTAATTCGAATTCTATTTCAACAATTGTTTGCTCATAAAGCTTGTAGAATTGAGATTTAAAAACTATTTAATGCTTATTTAGCTTGTTTTATAAATAGAAATTAAAAAACGTTCAAACTTTCATTTCTACGATACCTCTCGTTCTATGGCGGTTCTATATTTTGTTGCTAAGTCACAAGCTTATATTTATTCCCCCAATCAAATTTTAACATTTTCAGTTAGTTTGGCATTTATTTTATACTTCTATTTTCTACGTCTTCTATTTGTTGAACTATGAACTTATTGATTGAATTTATATATATATTGTACTGTGCACCAAATTATTACTTTCGAAGATCATTATAATATATCGTTCAACAAATAACTGCTAGAAAACAACAACAACAAGAAAACAGTTTTTGATCTCGCTCTTTGACAAATAGAGAATACAATAATAGTGTGCGGAAATTAGTCACGTATATGAAAAATTGGAAGTTATTGCAGTCAACAGCAACGAAGCAGCCGAAAAAAAAATTTTTAAATACTTCCTTCATATTCAGAAGCCAGATTTTGTTTATAGTTTCTAATGATGTTAAGTCATTCCTGATAATGTTTTTGTGTTACATTCGTTAGAAAGTTATACTGTAGTTATAGGAATATTATATAAAAATACACCATGTAAGTATATTTAGGTTTAGCGAGTACGTTAAACAAGGTCTGTGAATCACAGACGTGATGACAAACCATTCAATTGAAATAAATTATTATTTTTATTGAATATATATTGTTAAGTTTATTGTAGTCAAACAAGACACGGAAATACAAGAACTCTGTTAGATATAAATTGATCTCAACCAAACATATTTGCAAAAATAATCTTACAACTAACAGTAACAGAGAGAATGGCAAAGCCATTTTCAAAAATGAGGTCATTCACAATCACAGTGCCCGCTAAAATGGAAAATTTGAAGTGGGCGAAAGTAAAAAATTGCGCCATTTTTCAGATTTTTAATGTTTTTATTTTTGTATACTTTTCTGTAATTTAGAAAATTTAAATAATAAAATGGTACATAGTAGAAAATTACATAAAACCAAGACTAGTCTTCAGAAAATAGAACTTTATGAGCTTTTAGCGTGTCAGAACTTTTCCTTAATATGTCCGTTCAACCTCACTTGTCCCATTCTCATGATTTTGAAACACAAAAGTGTTTTTATGAACCTTAGTGTTGAACACGATCTTTCGTCACTTGCCACACTAACCAGTAAAGTTAATAAAATTCCTAGAACGATAAACATATTTGGAAAAATTCCTTTATTTTGGTTTTCACATATATAAAATATATAAATTTTCTGGAGTTGAATTTTCTGGTATTCAGTGTGATATTAATTTCTGCACACAAACTTTCACCAGAAACATCCCCTTTCTCTTTTCTTGGTAGTATTTTTTTATTTTTTCAGTTTTTGCATGGTGGGTTCTTTAAGCCCTTCGAACAAGCCTTGAGCCGGCTCTGGTCATTGACCAACAAAAATATTTTGCAATGTTTACTCTTAACATATTTGTATGATTCGTAGTGGGAAATATACTGTATCAATCAGCAAAATAAAGTATCAAAATAAATATTTTAATGAATATAGAACAACTTTTTTAAAGTGATTAGATATATAGAATTAAGTTTTCTGATGCTTAAAACCACCACAAAGATTTAAAATGAAAGGAAGCATTTCTGTTGTATGTTTCCAAACCATATTTCACAATAAAGTTTCACAAAACTTTATAGCTTAAAACGTAATACATATATTCAATAAAATTTTATAACTTTTTCATCCCTAAACTAGTTACTATTAAAAACTTAGTACCAAGTTTCATACAATTTAGTTAAGTATTTTTACAACTGGTGCATTTGCAGATCTCAAAGAATTAATTTTATCATATAGCTAACACACATATTCGAAAGAAGAGAAGGTGTAACTGATATTGAAGTTCTCAATAGAATGTAGTTGATATGGTTTATAAGGTCATCAGATAATTTATACTTTTAATAGCAAATGCTTTTGCTGTGTATATAGTATTCTCGAAGATAAGTTGCATCTTTAGCAAGTAAAATGGAGTAATTCCAAGTTAACTCCACATATCAAATCTCACAAACAAATGACTTGGCTGTGTCTTATTTTTTTGCAGGATGGCGTTCTTTACATAATGTTGTATTTGAAGGGTCATACATCTATATATATTTATGATTATGGTTTGTGATTATTCTGTATTTTCCACTACTTTTTGCACAAACAGTTCCTTGGTTTTTCATGACAATGACCATAATTTTTGTTTTATGATTTGTCTAACATACTTACAGTACTGCATCAGCATTTTTTATAGTCTGAAAAAACATTTAGTATTATGCTCTTGTGAGCCTTGTCAAATGTCAAACATTTCAGTAAAGACCTGGAGGTTTGGTGGCTCCTGATAACCCTAGCAATCTATTGAAATAACTTTGAATGGATTTTGCTGGTCCTGTGCTATGCACTTCAGAATGATTAAGTTACATAATCAGTTGAATTGCTTCTGCTTTGTGTGGTTACAGTTGAATCAGGTGTTCAAATCTTCAGGATAGCGATAACTTACCATCATGTACTGCCATATGCTGTTTCATTACAGTTATAGAAACTGAATTTATACATATATATATAAAAAAGGAGTATAATGATAAATTATTTGCCCAATAAATAATTTATTAAAAACAGGGACCAGCCCTAAAAGGACTCTTGCAAGTTTTGGTGTTCTTATGCCATATGTAGGGTCTTTTCTAGGGCTGGTTCCTGTTTTTAATAAATTAATTATTGTGCAATTATTCTCTTCTGTTCCAAGTTTGTATGCAGAGCTGTGGCGATTTATCAAAATTATCACAATGAAGTTGTATAATAATAATTATGTGTATTTTACGTTTCCTTAGGCAATATAAAAACAGAACAGCATACTCTTACTTTTACTATAAGTATACACATTTCTCTCAGTGTGTGAGTTCTTTATATGTGTTTGCTAGATTCCTTATTGTATATATATTTTAGCAAATATCTATTTATTATTGTGACGGATTTATTATTATATATTTATTTTAATATCGATGTTTGCTTGAATTAATTTATGTTTACAAATGTACATAACTTATACTGTTAAGTATGTATTGCGAAACTCCCGCCTTTTCTCTAAAGTTGTAGAAGATTCTCGAGTGTAAGAATCAACAATATACGTGTGTACGTAAACTCTAGTATAGCGTGTTGGTAATGTTACGTAATCTGAATTTTCGAGAAACTCTCTACACGCCTATAAATATAACTAACGCGACGCGCCAAAAAATAGTATCTATTATTAGTTTACTATAGTTAGTGTGCTATAAACTTCGGAAGCTATAACTGTGATTAACACTTATTAATCGGGAAACTTCAGATATTTGACCAGGAACGTTTATAAATTTCGAACATTACAAACCATTTAACTTCAGTGGATTCATATCGGACATTAGTACTTTTACGAAAACATTACTTAACGTCATCGGTGGAGACTCAACCAGTAATCAGCGAGAACTACAGGGCTAGCTAGCTCCCTGTTAAATAAATTGTACCTACGTCAACTCGTAATCAACTCGCTCATCGTGAACCCTCTATAAGATATTAAGGAAGTTCCAGACTAGAAATAAGACTTTATATTGCTTGTAAGTTTGTGAAACTTTTGTATATAAATCATTGTTTGTAATAAATCTTTGTAATAACTGTTATTGTAGATTGTATTGTTGTTTGTATTTTAAAACATATTTGTATAAAACAAAGAAACTGTGTGTATTAATCTTGTTGGCAAATATCATAAATTGGAGATGTATACTAAATTTAAATTATCATTTACCTCGGTTTCAGACCATTAGAAATTGTCATATGTAACAATTATTTCCCACTCACTGTATAAACAACTCGAATATAAAGAATGGCATTGCTCCAATATTCTTATAACAACGCATTTGTACTGAGGATACTGTTTTCTTTTTAAAAAATCGTCGAGATAAAATGTATCTTTTGATTAGTTACATAACCGTTTATTGTTACCGTATTTAATCTATTAACTAAAGTGACTTGGGTAATATTTATAGAAACATATTAATATTTCATAGATCAGTTAATTTAATGCATTAAATTAAACAATTTAAAATAATGATGCTAGTGTAATACAGTTTTGTAGCCTATTTTGCAATTAGCGTTCAAACATTCAATTTAGCGTGAAACTATCGAATCAGATGTGTATATTAATCTGAAGTATTTGTTATAATGCAATTACTTCAAATGCCAAGAAATGGAGTTTTATTAACAAACATACAAAGTAATAAATAGATAATTGAGAATTATATGATTGCAGATAGATAATAGGAACCTATAGAAATACAGCAGACCAAAGGATGTTATAAAATAAATGTGGATATAAAAAATGTGAACACTAACTAGCGAACCACGTTACCAAATAAGGGAGAGACAAAGTCGAAATATTACATGAGTTAAATACTTATATGCATTCCAACCCTTCATTAGCGCCAAACAGACACAATTCCGATTGAGGATACAGCGAATGTTTATCTTAAGATAAGTCACGAGACAAAGCAACCGTTATAAAAAACGATTTACGGGACTTGGAGAAACGACAAGTGGAGTAGTACTTGTGAAGAGCCCAAAGTTACACGGTTTGTCTTTATACACCTTGAGTTAGTAGTCTCAGGTGTTTACGCCAATAATATGTAATAATCATCGAAAGATAGTTCTTTATGAAACAATTAACAAATTATTCTGATTTAGTGGAAGATTCTACTTGTGCCAATTCAGTTAAAGGAATTACTTGTGAAAAAAGATCTGTTGAACTTCTTGAAATATCGTAAAGAGACAGAAAACTATGTATAAAACATCGTGTTTCCATCTCTAGAATCATCTTGTTCCAGCTGATCCAGTCTGACTAGTGGACCCCTCATAATAGCTGTACTCCAGACTTTAGAAGGCATCTGCGCACAAACTCCTTGTAAGTATGCTATCTCTGATCTAGTCTAACATTGTTTCAGTTATACAATGTTTAATGTATAATGTCTAAAGAGAGAAAAGTGAGAAACACTAAGAGTATTGAAAAAGTAATAAGTCTAGTAACGGTTATCATTGAATTACAGAGAGATAGATTGGAAGTCTAGTAACGGTTATCATTGAATTACTGAGAGATAGATTGGAAGTCTAGTAACGGTTATCATTGAATTACCGAGAGATAGATTGGAAGTCTAGTAACGGTTATCATTGAATTACTGAGAGATAGATTGGAAGTATAGTAACGGTTATCATTGAATTACTGAGAGATAGATTGGAAGTCCAGTAACGGTTATCATTGAATTACTGAGAGATAGATTGGAAGTCTAGTAACGGTTATCATTTAATTACTGAGAGATAGATTGGAAGTCTAGTAACGGTTATCATTGAATTACTGAGAGATAGATTGGAACTATAGTAACGGTTATCATTGAATTACTGAGAGATAGATTGGAACTATAGTAACGGTTATCATTGAATTATTGAGAGATATATTGGAAGTCTAGTAACGGTTATCATTGAATTACTGAGAGATAGATTGGAACTATAGTAACGGTTATCATTGAATTATTGAGAGATATATTGGAAGTCTAGTAACGGTTATCATTGAATTACTAAGAGATAGATTGGAAAAATTATTAACCCAATTGCGTAATAAAGACAATGACAGAAAACATGTATCATATTGTACTAGTTGATAACTTATTCAATGTTATATCTGTGTTAATGAATACAATAGAAGGTTTTAATTAACGAGGATATCAGTATACAGAACAAAGAGTTTGATAGTTTTTAGCTTGAACTGATTCAAAATAACTTTGGAAATTTTGATATAGAGCTGTCTATAAATACAATTTATTTTGTGTTGTAATACAACTGTCTCCGAGTAAGTTCTTTATAATGGAATTTACTTTGTGTTGTAATACAACTGTCTCCGAGTAAGTTCTTTATAATAAAATTTATTTTGTGTTGTAATACAACTGTCTCCGAGTAAGTTCTTTATAATAAAATTTATTTTGTGTTGTAATACAACTGTCTCCGAGTAAGTTCTTTATAATAAGATTTATTTTGTGTTGTAATACAACTGTCTCCGAGTAAGTTCTTTATAATGGAATTTATTTTGTGTTGTAATACAACTGTCTCCGAGTAAGTTCTTTATAATAAGATTTATTTTGTGTTGTAATACAACTGTCTCCGAGTAAGTTCTTTATAATGGAATTTATTTTGTGTTGTAATACAACTGTCTCCGAGTAAGTTCTTTATAATAAGATTTATTTTGTGTTGTAATACAACTGTCTCCGAGTAAGTTCTTTATAATAAGATTTATTTTGTGTTGTAATACAACTGTCTTCGAGTAAGTTCTTTATAATAAGATTTATTTTGTGTTGTAATACAACTGTCTCCGAGTAAGTTCTTTATAATAAAATTTATTTTGTGTTGTAATACAACTGTCTCCTAGTAAGTTCTTTATAATAAAATTTATTTTGTGTTGTAATACAACTGTCTCCGAGTAAGTTCTTTATTCCACATGTAAGTTTCATGATTTGTGGCTTGTGGGTGCTAATCGCGACTGGGTAACCTGGATTAGAATAAATTCATTGGTAACTGGTATGAATTCGAACCCAATGACTACGCCCACAGGCCGCCCTGTTACAAATCCAAGAAGCAGAAATAAATAAAATGATTTAATAAAACTCCCAGTGTCTGGAACAGGTTTAAATATTTCGTTCAGCAAAATATTTTATTGTTGTTTTCAAATACTTTTTTTTGTCAAATAAGTGGAGGAAAATCAAATATTTATATAAAGTGGAGTTTTGAAATGAAATGAAATAACTGTACAAAATATGTAGGAAACAAATTACATACAACCCGTGTAGTCATACAAACTCTATTCTTGAACTTTTACACACACAAATTAAAAGCAAGAGTATGTATGTTTAGTGAAATATAGTACGGTATTAAACATTGATAGGTGCGAGAAACTGAAACCTTTATATCTGCATGCGTCTAACTTTACTATGTTGATTGTTAGTTTGGTTCTTAAGGTTTTCAGATTGACTAGAGTTACTGTCTGACTCATAAAGCTCCCATTGTTCGACGTCTGGTTAATCCTGACATCTGGTGTCAAAAAATAAACTAGTTCTCAAAGAAGTTTGTTTGTTGCATTTCGCGCAAAACTATTTGAGATCTGTCTGCACTAGTCATACCCAAGTTAGAAGTGATAGATCAGAGGGAAGGCAGTAAGTCAAACCGTTTGGAGTACTCTACTCGAATAGTGGGAATGAAAGTTGACCGTCACATTATAACGTCCCCACGGCTAAAATGAGTATGTGATAAGATTGGAGCCCGTGAGTCGAGCACCCTAATCACTAGGTCGTATGATGAGGTTTATATTGGCAGTAATTTATCATTATTATTATCATAGCTCGACCACTTCTCATAATTAAGATTAACGTTGTTTCGAATAGAATTACAATTAAACTGATTAACTAAATCGAAGTAAAACAACTTGCACGTTCTTGGTGTTAGTCATTTTTTGTTTTCTACTTAAGATCGCATGATTTTCTTTGATGGGATACAAGATTAAGGATAAAACAAGTTTTTAACAATAACGAAAAGCTAAATACTGTATCACGTTTTTTTTTTCAGGTGTAATTTCCATTTTACATTCATAGTACTTAAAATTGTTTTTTCCAGGTGGGTTAGCGGTAAGTTCCCAACTTACAATGCTAAAATTCGGGGTTCGTTTCTCCGCGGTGGACATAGCGCAGATAGCTCATTGTGCAGCTTTGCGCTAGAAATGTTAGGTAATTACATAAAAAAACACTACTGAAAAGTGCTGCATTAATAAGCACCACTGTTTATTCAAATTACAGCTTAATCACATTGTTTATTGTTATAGACCATTCCAGTCTTAGTAGTTGTTAACTATTGATTCACAGCTTTCAAACTTTGATATTTGTAAATATTGCAAAATATAATTTTGTTTATGCTTAAATGTCTTTACTTATGATAAAACATATAAGTTATGAGATTAAACAAGAGGGAATCCTCAACAGCAGCGGCACTTGAAATTAGAGTAAATTAATGTATGAGACCTTTTTTCTTAGCTATATTTTTGTGCGCCAGCAATACCAAGCGTGGGGCGCGCATATACCTGATTCAGTTTTATTACTTATCAGGATCTCTACCAGCCTACCCTCAAATTGAAATTCTTTTAAGCAGGATTAGAGTAAATTAATCCATGAAACCTTGGGCGTGATCAAATACATCAATCGAAAGGGTTTGACCTCTTTAGTCCAAAAGTGTGATAGAACTCAAAAGCATTTGTAAGCGTTCCACCTGTTCCTGCATTCGGCTATAAGAAATTGAGTTCGATGTTTTAATAAAGGCACTTTATTTAACTAAACATTATATTACTTTTTATAGTTTTACAAGAATTATAATTGTCTTGGTTTCCAATATATACAGTTTTTGGTTGTGTTAAATGTTTCATGCCATGGATATATATATGTGTGTAGTATTTTCAGGTTGAACTGATTCATTTAAAGTATATTAGGCAAGGTCGCATGTAAAATGAGGATCGGTAGGATAAATTACGAAATAATACTGATTTTAATTAAGATAACTGAGTTTAAGCAAAGAAGTAAAAAACTGGACCCGATGCGTGATACACAATGAAAACAATCTTAATTTTAAATCAAGGGATAAAAACACAGTATGAGTGCTTGCTTTTTGGATGCTAAACAGTCACCTTTCACTGGATTCGTGAATTATCGAACCGACTTTCTTCTTATCAGCCAACTCACTTAAGATCTGGCATGTAAACATTTTAAGTCTAACATTTCTTACTTAACAGGAAACGTCGATTTCCTATACCGACTAGCGTTAATCGCGTGACTGGTTATTTTCATTTAACAGGGGAAGTCGTAACCTAGAGATATCAACTGACTTATCATTTGAGGACACTGGCTATTTATATTTTTGCACAATGTACAGTATCACATTCATATATCCTATGGGCAGAACAAATGTGACCTCAATAAAACGACAAGGAACAAAGAAACTTAATAATTTTTTTGACTAGTTGCTATGAGAAAACTGTACAGATTTAGAATAAATGAAAATCTATACTTTTGGCTCACTTCATCGATGAACTACACTTCCGATTGTTTTGATAATTACACTGAAATTGGATGCTTTTAAGTTACTAAATATATATACACTATGTTAACTTTTTTGTTTGAATATAACGTATAAATAAAAGAATGATAATTACTAAATGATTCTTTCCCTAGGTTTCACCCTGCTAGCATATCAGCTTTTCTAATAATCGAATCCTGCCATAACATACAATCCATCTTCTCTCTTGGAGACTGCATCAGTTTAGCAACAGAAAAGTCTAATAAAAGTAATAAATATTAATTAACACACATAGACCTTTTAGAATAAAGCTTTCAGTCCTTTTTTTGTACAAATGTGTTTCTTGTGTTGGTTATTGTATGTGTAGGTAAGTATTATGAAGCTAGATGTAAGAAACATCGGTTGGGGTTGAGAAAGAGGTGAGAAAGCGGTCGGATTTTGGTCAGTCTTTAAGGAATTGGGGAAATACAGTAGTTTAAGTCTATTAGAAAATGACTGAAGTGAGCGGTCGCCTATCTAAGCTCATCCAGTATGGAGATTATAAGATAGTTGGTAAATAAATGTAGAGAATTGGGTATAACATGTAGTAAGAATTGGAAAAAAAGATGAGACACATGAAGTTTTAATTGAGACAGGAGTTACAAGAGATGATTTTTTTTTTTACCATCAACTTACTGAAAGTACGGGAACTGTGAGAGGTGTTCGCGAAGGTTGTCATGATAACGATTTAGAACTTGCTAAAATACAATTAGAAATGCTTGGAAGTTGAAGCCGAGAGTAAACGCTTGGAAATAAAGGCTGGGA